CAGTAGATCCCATTTCCAGAAACTACTTTCTTTGTTCATCCATAGAAGAAAGCAACTCTTCATCTGTTCAAGTTTGAACATGAAATTGTAGGACTTCAGTCACATCTTCAGGCCTACTTCTAATTCTAGTTCTCCAGCTGTTTCTAATACATTCACTGTTACTTCGTCTACTGAAGTCTTAAACCACCCAAAGTCATCCATGAGGGTTGAAATCAACTTCTTCCAAACTCCTGGTAATGTTGTTATTTGGACTTCCTCCCACGAATCGTAAATGTTCTTAATGGCATCTAGAATGGTGAACTCATTCCAGAAGGTTTTCAATTTACTTTGCCTAGATTCATCAGAGGAATCAACCTGTGGCAGCCACAGCCTTTAAAAATGTATTTCTTAAACAATAAGACTTGAAAGTCAAAATTATTCTTTGATCCAGGTGCTGCAGGATGAATGTTGTATTAGCAGGCACGGAAACAACATTAATCTCTTTGTACATCTCCATCAGCGCTCTTGCGTGACAGGTGAATTGTCAATGAGCAGTAATCTTTTGAAAGAATCTTTTTTTTTTCTGAGCAATGGGTCTCAACACTGGAATTTAAGTATTTCATAAGCCATGCTGTATGTAAACAGATGCGCTGTCATCCAGGCTTTCTTATTCCATTTACAGAACACAGAGTAGATTCAGCATAATTATTACGGGCCCTAGGATTTTGACAATGGGAAAGGAGCATTGTCTTCAAACTTAGTCACTAGTTGCATTAGCTCCTAACAGGAGAGTCACAGCCCGTCCTTTGAAGATTTGAAGCCAGGCACTGATTTATCTCCAGCTATCAAAGTCATAGATGGCATCTTCTTCCAACAGAAGGATGTCTCATCTACACTGAAAATCTCATTTGGCCAGGTGCAGTGGCTCACACCTGTAATCTCAGCACTTTGGGAGGCCAACACAGGTAGATCACGAGGTCAGGAGTTCGAGATCAGCCTGACCAACATAGTAAAACCCCCTCTCTTCTGAAAATACAAAGATTAGCCAGGCATGGTGGTGGGCGCCTGCAATCCCAGCTACTCAGGAGGCTGAGGCAGGAAAATTGCTTGAACCCAGGAGGTGGAGGATGCAGTGAGCTGAGATCATGCCACTGCACTCCAGCCTTAGTGACTAAGTGAGACTCTATCTCAAAAAAATAAAAAATTTAAAAAAAAAAAGGAATCTGTTGCTTTGTGTAGCCAACATCAGCAATGATCTTAAGAAATATTGAATCACCTGCTGCAGCTTCCACATCAGCACTTGCTGCTTCACCTTTCACTTTTATGTTACGGAGATGGCTTCTTTCCTTAAACCTCATGAACCAACACCTGCTAGCTTCAAACTTTTCTTCTGTAACTTTCTCACCTCTCTCAGCTTTCATAAAATTGAACCGAGTTAGACACTTGCTCTGGATTAAGCTTTGATAGAGAGAGAGAGAGAATGTGCAAGCACAACCAGTAGGTAGTGCTGTCAAAACACATACAATTTTATGGATGAAGCTTGCTATTTTATATAGGCAGATTTCGAGGCACCTCAAAATAAATTACAATAACATCAGACATCACTGATTACAGATCACCACAACAAATATAATAATAATGAAAAAAGTGTGAAATATTCCAAGAATCACCAAAATGTGACATAGAGTTGTGAAATGAGAATATGCTATTAGAAAAATGGAACTGAGGCTGGGAGTGGTGGCTCATGCCTATAATCCCAGCACTTTAGAAGGCCAAGGCAGGCAGATCACCTGAGGTCAGGAGTTCAAGACCAGTCTGGGCAACATGGTGAAACCTTGTCTCTACTAAAAATACAAATATTAGCTGGGCATGGTGGTGGGTGTCTGTTAACCCCAGCTACTCAGGAGCCTGAGGCAGGAGAATTGCTTGAACCTGGAAGGTGGAGGTTGCAGTGAGCTGAGATTGTGCCACTGCACTCCAGCCTGGGTGACAAGAGTGAGACTCCATCTCAAAAAAAAGAAAACAAATAAAAAAGAAAAGAAAAATGAAGCTGATAGACTTGTTCCACATGGGGTTATCACAAATCCTCAATTTGTAAAAAAAAAAAAAAAACAAACTATCTATGAAACACAATAAAGTGGAACAAAATGAAGTATACCTGTTTAAAAATACGTAATACATAATTATGCAAAATGAAAATATAATTAAAGTTTTTATTTAAAATTTTATATTTATATGTGTGTATATATATTTTTCATGTTTTTCTGTAGTTATTATATCAAGTATATTCTTATTAATCACCACTTTTAACCAAAGTAATCAACTTTTGCTTTCCCAAAGGGAAAACCAGAAGACAGAAAACCAAGAAATGTCCAACTAAAGTTTCTTTGAGACAGGGTCTGGCTCTTTCACCCAGGCTGGAGTGCAGTGGTACAATCTCAGCTCACTGCAACCTCTTCCTCCTGGGCTCAAGTGATCCTCCCACATCAGCCTCCTGAGTATCTGGAACTACAGGCACATACCAGCACATCTAGCTAATTTTTGTAGTTTTTGTAGAGACAGGGCTTCGCCATGTTGCTCAGGCTAGTCTCAACCTCCTGGGCTCAAGCAGTCTTTCCGCCTCAGCCTTGCAAAGTGCTAGGATTACAGGTGTGAGCCACTGCACCTGGTTAGCTAAATTTTTATAAATACAAATTTTAGATTACTTCTATAATTTTAAGGTGGCAAAACAACATATATGTAACAACCAAAGTATATGCACATACTGTTAATTCATAGTCATTTTATGATGTATAAGAAAAAAGGTAAATTGAAACTATCTTTAGCAACCAAAGCTCTGTATCAGGTATTAGTTAGAAATTGTCCAATTATCCCAGGACTAATTTAACATTATGTAAGGGCTTGAAAGTTACTAAAGATCTAAAAAATTATAATTTCAATTAACACATTTGGTCTTTATAATTAATAGTAGCATAATAGTTTTATAAGATCCAAACCCCTTTATATTTTGTAATCTTAAACAACTGAACAAATCAGTAACTTATTTGGCCCATTAGATCAATATATAAAATTTAGAAAGTTTAGATCATGAAAAGATCCAATTTAGTTTTATATAAACTTGAATATTTTATCAGCATTAATTTTATATAATAAAACTTGAAAGAAAATATATAATCAACTTTAAATACATATTAATTTGTTTTGACTCACCCAAATTCATCTATTAATCAGAAATACTTTACACATTTTAAAAAATATAATTTATGAACTTTATATTCAAAATCATTAAATCATATTTAGGAGCTCCTCTTTTATCTTGAAAACTTGCTTCTTATAAGCATAATAACAAAGGCTATTTAAGTTCATTTGGCCACATTTTTTTAAAGTCCAATAGTGATTTTTTTTCTTAGACATTTTTGGCTGTTTATTTGGACTAGATATTCCTGGATTGCACATATAATGACAGAATGACTTAGTCTGACGAATTATCTTTCAAATTTTTAACGAAAGAAAAAGAGAAACAGGAAAAAGGTGAGCTAAAGCCAGTTTTAGACAAATATATTATCACTGTAAAATGCTAATTATCTTTCCTCTTCAAGGAGAGAGGAAAAAGCTTAAATATAAGCCATGTGATTAATAAAAAACCTGGAAGTATGGAAATAAAATAGGGGCAGTCATCTACTTAAAATGATCTTAGACAAATAAGACAAATACTATTCTCCAAAAGTCTTGTTTTTTGATTTCTGGTGTTGTTCTTCTAAAGCACATTTGAAATGAACAGTCTTCTTTATGTCAAAGTTCCCCACATTTCACCAATTCTTTGGTAAATTTATCTCAGGAGACAGTAAAGGTTCATATCTGACAACCCCATGAAAAACTGGCTGCTATTTTGTTTTTGCAAAAATATTGTTATGGGTGGGTCAGGGTTTGCTGACCTAAGAAATGTGGAGAGACAGGGCCATGTGTAAGAGATAGATTGTATCTCCCAAAGCAAATTTCTCACACACACACAGGACTGAGAAAAGTTTCACTGAAAAATGATACAAGATGGTAGGCCAACAGACAGAAGATGGTATTTAAAAGCAAAGTCAATCAGAACCCCCAAATCCCACGAGACTATAAGCATGAAACTGGGGCCAAAGTCCAAAATCCAGATTTACTGCAAAATCTACATAATCAGAAAGATAGAAATCTCAAGAGTCTCAGGTGTGTGCATTAATACCAAGTTAATGGTCCCAATCCAGGCAGTGAAGACCTTGGTAGAATCTCCAAGGTACCCGAGCCCAATTAACCTAAGACCACCGAGGATAAACCTGTACTTTTACAAAGTCAGGTTTACAGGCCCATTTCAAGGAGGGAGACCACAGACCAGAGACAGTGTTTTGTTAAGTTCAGTTTTTAAGTATATCTTAGCCTTTTACGTAAAATATTCAAAATGACTCAAGCTGGAAGCATAGTATTACACCAAAACTTCACCCTTTTAAGATCAGTAAAGAAGAGGGGTACAGGTGCATTTTTTCATTTCTCCTGATCCAAATTAGAGAATCCCTCAATTTAATATTATAGTTTGCAGATTCTTATACTTTGATTTGGGCAGAACTGGTCCAAACCCACAAAAAACTGAGAATAAGCAAGCCTCTTCCTGAACTCTCATAAGGGAAAGAGAAAGGAAGGAATCGAATCACTACCTGGAGTACCTGTGCACCTTGCCCTGTCAGGGACACTGCGTGCAGTGTATAAGGAAGTCGTGCTCCAGTATGCAAGGGAAGCAACCAGGCTTTCTCTCCATGGACAGGAAATTGGAGGGCTCAGAGATGTCCTATATGAGCGAAGGCCAGAAAGCCCCACCCTACACTTCTATAAAGGTCACTGAAACAAAAGATGCAATCCCAGAGAACCTAGCCCACTGACTCCCTCCCCACACCTCCACCCGCAGGTGCCAGAGGGCAGGCTGTCCTCTACTCCAGTAGGAAGCAGCTGGCCGAGTAAGGAAGGCAGCGGCCGCCAGTGGTGGGGCGGGGCCACAGTGGCAGCCAGCCCAGGGCGCTGGGACGCAGGGAGCTTGAGCCCAAACAGCAGCTTCCGGAGTCGGAGATCGGTAAGGAGGAAAACAGAGACGGAAGAAGCTCGCGACTTTTCTGCCTGGGCAAGTGTACCCAAGCAGCAAGCAGGACGGGCGGTGCTCTGGTACCATTAACCCTGAACAGCCCAAGCCCCGTAGTCACTGCTCATCAAGAATGGAAATCCCGCCGACCAACTACCCAGCTTCCAGGGCGGCCTCGGTGGTGCAGAACTACATCAACTACCAGCAGGGGACCCCCCACAGGGTGTTTCAGGTGCAGAAGGTCAAACAAGCCAGCATGGAGGTAAGTTTATCAGGGAGGGGCGGGCAGCGGGGACCCCAGGATTGCGCTCCCTCCACTCACCCAAGGTCTCAGCCTCTGTGTGCAGACACTCCCGGCCACCCGCTACCCATCTTCCGTTTTAGGACACACTGCTGGTATCTGGTCTTGAGATATTAATGTTTCTAGGGGACTGTCTATACTCCAGTCTCTGGAGACAGCCCGGTACTGTTTCCATCTTGAGGCAGAGAAAAAGTTTTTACACACTCAATTACAAAATGGGAAAAAGCTCTAAGTAAGGCTCGGCACTTTCCTTAAGTGTAGGAACCACTCAAAAGAATCCTAAGGCTGCCCCGTTTCTCATCTGCTACTCTGATCTGGACCAACAAAAGCTCCCATCTTCCAAACGACTATTGCCTAAGTTTTAAGACAAATCCCTATTAGACCCTCTGACCAAAATGAAGGGGGAAACAAACAGCAAGAGAAAGTGACAATGAAAGTCAAATAATAAAAGCACTGTGCGCTGATGCTGGCCTTTAGCCACACAAAGGCCACCACCACATGACTGCCTTAAATGATGTGCACCCTCTGCTAAAGGCTTGAATTAAATGCTTAAGTCCTCAGCAATCACTAAAGAAGTTTGTTTTCATTTTAATAAAATCTGCTGGATTTGAGATTATCCCTTATTTATCTAACAGAATTTTAACTGCTAACAGTCTTTAAGAGGTGACGGAGGGTAGATCTTATTTTAAAACTGTACCAGATAATATAATTAGGTATAAATTTTCAATCTGTATCTGGATTTAAAAGTGAAATACTCGTTTCTTAGTCTTATAAAATTTGTTAACCATTTTGCAGTTCTGCTAATATACAAGTAAAAACAATACTTAAGTATATTAAGTCTCCAATTGCTTTGCAGTAATCTACCTCAAAATGAAATTCATTCACTGAACACTATTTGGAGGGTACACTGAGCTTTATGAAAAATCTTCTCAAAGGTGATATTATTTGTCATCTTTAGAATTAAAAGCTGTTAGGCCGGGCGCGGTGGCTCAAGCCTGTAATCCCAGCACTTTGGGAGGCCGAGGCGGGTGGATCATAGGTCAAGAGATGGAGACCATCCAGGTCAACATGGTGAAACCCCGTCTCTACTAAAAATACAAAACATTAGCTGGGGATGGTGGCGCGTGCCTGTAATCCCAGCTACTCAGGAGGTTGAGGCAGGAGAATTGCCTGAACCCAGGAGGCGGATGTTGTGGTGAGCCGAGATCGCACCATTGCACTCCAGCCTGGGTAACAAGAGTGAAAAAAAAAAAAAAAAAGAATCAAAAGCTGTTTCAAAATTTCTTATGTAGAGACTTTAGAATCACAGATCCAGATGTTAAAGTCTTTTGATGATTCAAAGTAAGTTGTGCCCAATTTATACATATGCTTTTATCCTACCCTTTGTTTTCATCCAAAATAAACTTGATAGGGGACTTGCTAAATTAGATGTTACATTCATGGTGACATGCCTTTTACAAGACCTAAGGCTTTCAACATTACCCATCAGCTAGCCCCTCCAACCAAATGAGATGGATGCTTCTAACCAAGCAAGTATATGACTTGTTGTTACAATATTTTCTTGTCTCCATTACATTTTCTTAATTTTAGGATATTCCAGGAAGAGGACATAAGTATCACCTTAAATTTGCTATTGAAGAAATTATACAAAAAGTAAGTAAAATGTTTTTTGTTTTTGTTTTTTCTTTGAGACAGGGTCTCACTCAGTCATTGAGGCTGGACTACAGTGGCGGGAATATGGCTCACTGCAGCCTCAACTTCCCAGGTTCAGGCCATCTTCCCACCTCAGCCTCCCCAAGTGGCTGGGACCACAGGTGCATGCCACCACACCTGGCTTATTTTTGTGATCCTCCTGCCTCTGCCTCTCAAAGTGCTAGGATTACAGGCATGAGCTACCATGCCCAGCCAAATGTTCTTATTAAATCAAATTTGATTCTAAATATTCCAAATCATCTTTGCTGATCACACCCGTAAGACTGATTAGTTTTACCCCTTTTTAAAAAGTTACTGTGAAATCCCTGCCTCTAAAAAATATTGAGCATATGGGCAAAGTTTACAAGGATCAGTTCTTTACTATCTTTGGGTATTCCTGAATATATGAATTATTTCTATCAAACTATATGGAAAAAGACTATATACTTAGGTTCAAATGAATTTCCTTAGGAAGTTACATACTCATAGGGCAATCTGAACTTATGCCTAATATAAATAAGTAGTTTATTCCCCAATCAATCACTTTCTTATGTCTGCTTTTCTCATTCTATTTTTCATTGGGTTTTTAGAGAAAGAAAGTGCTCTTAGATATTCACAAGCAACAGAATGCCAGCTGATAACAGCATTCAGATAAAGATCTTTCAGTAATGGGGAAGGGAAATTTTTAAAGATTATACAACTGTCAAATTATTAATGAGACAAACTTAAAAGAAAGGAACTGCAATCTGTACCACAGCCATCCTGAAATTTTAAAAAGCCTGCCTTTCTGTTGAGCATAATTCATAAGGAGATTCACTAAAAGACATCTAAGCTGCTAGACAGCCATCTTTACAAAGCTTAACCCAATGCTATAATCTTCTAATTTTATATCTAGATACAGACTGCTGCATCTGCATTTGAAAAAATTTGTTATTTCAGGAGCAAGGAGTAAGACTAATGAAAAAACTTTAAAAGTAACCAGAGTCTTGAATTGGTATTATAAAGTCAGACTAAAATCTGGCCTTGCAAATGGATACTCCATTAATACTGAAATATATTAACAGTTTGAAGATTAGAATTTATAAGATTATGACACCTTATCTTTTATAAGGTAAGTTATCTATTTTAGGATATTCATATAACTCTAGAGTATTAATAGGCCAGGCCCAATTAGGTATCTCTGAAAACAAGCACTCTGAAGTCTAGTCTAAACAACACCATTAGGGCCCTATATTTTAAATCATATCTCAAAGATGATAATAATGAATAGCCTTCTATATATAAGGATCTTTCACTAAATTTCAACAGCAAGTTATGGCGAACTGCACAGCTGAAGTACTTTACCCTTCAAAGGGACAAGAAACTGTACCAGAAGTTAACTTCACATTTGAAGGAGAAACTGGAAAGAACCCAGATGAAGAAGACAACGCATTTTATCAAAGACTCAAGTCCATGAAGGAACCGCTAGAAGCACAAAATATTCCAGGTATATAAATATGATGAAAACCATTTGTTCCAACGTTAAAATCAATCTCAATTATCTAAAATAGTTAGTTGCTATGTTAGAAACACACAGGCTTTTGCAAAAATATTCATTTCTAATCTAATCCAACAAAAAAGAGGCCTCAGAAATTTCACAGATCCATAGCTTAATTATTTTCTGAACACAACTGAAGGAAACTAAGACATGATTTATAATTTAGTTTGTTTTAAGAGGTTAATACTATATATATAATTACCATATAAACGTTTTCCCCACCAGACAATTTTGGAAATGTACCTCCAGAAATGATGCTTGTTCTACATTTAGCCTGGGTTGCCTGTGGTTATGTAATATGGCAAAATTCTACTGAAGACACATGGTATAAAATGGTAAAAATTCAAACTGTCAAGGAAGTGGTAAGTAGCCTCTATAAAATATACTATTAATGGAGTTAACATTTATCAAAAGTATAATATTTCATAATTGGATAAACAGTGTCCCTATAGACATTTTGTAATTAATAGCAAACCTGGAATTTCAATGGAGAGGTCAGTTGCAATCAAGATCAGAGAAGGTGAAGAATTGTAGGAAGAGTTCAAAGCAACAGTAACTGGTGTAAAAAGTTGTTTGATTTGGCTAAGAGATACAAACCACAGACCTCCTTTGCCTCAAACTTGCCTAATAACAGTGCTTGGATAATTGCATTCTCTGGGAACATACTGACAAGGAAGCATAACAATAGCAAGGCAAAGCAAAGGATTTCAATGAAACACTTACTATTAATATATAGTATCTAGACTGCACTTTCAAAAAGCATCATGGTAATCGTAGCTGTTAATCTTTCATGTTAGTCAACATAGATTTAACTATGATACTTTACTGAAACCCTCTTCTAGAACAAAAAGGTTTAGAGAGTTTTGTTAGTAGCAGCAAGATAAAATCCCAAGTGTTCAATATATAGTCAGGCCTCTCTATCCATGGGTTCTGTATCCATGGATATAAACAACTGAGAATCAAAAATATTTGGGGGAGGAGAAATGGATGGTAGCATCTGTACTGAACATGCACAGATTTTTTCCATGATTCCCTAAGTAATATAACTATTTACATAACATTTAGATTAGATTAGGTATTATAAGTAATCTAGAGATGATTTAAAGCATATGAGAGGGTATGCATAGGTTATATGCAAATACTACACTGTTTAATGTCAGGGACTTGAGCATCCATAGATTTTGGTATCTGAGGAGAATCCTGGAATCAATCCCCCATGGATACTAAGGGCCAATTGTAATGACTCTCCTCACCTTTAATCTGCTCTATAGATATCCTCAGGGCCATTTTTCATGGCAGTCACAAGCAAAGCTGTGCTTTCAGAAGAGTAAAATCTTTAGCTATAATCTGACATTTAGCTTTTGTGCTCAGCTTAATACAGATTATTTCCTTTAGCAATCTTAGTTTTGTGTTCAAATTACTATAGTCATGCCATACTGAAACTGTTTTTTCTCTACTGTGCAGTTCAGAAAAGAGCTTTAATTACACAATCACTAACCACACTGAGTACATTTTACTATTTTCAAGTGTTTTGGTTTTTTGTGCGTTGGTTGGTTTGTTTTTGAGACAGGGTCTCACTCTGTTGCCCAGGCTGGAGTGCAGTAGTGTAATCATGGCTCACTGCAGCCTCAACCTCCCAAGCTCAGATGGTCCTCCCACCTCAGCCTCCCAACGTGGCTGGGACTACAGGCACACATAGCCATGCTGGTTTTTCTGTTTTTTTCTTATAGAGACATGGCTTCATCATGTTGCTCAGGCTGGTCTTAGACTCCTAGGCTCAGCCAATTTGCCGAACTCAGTCCCACAAAGTGCTGAGATTACAGGTGTGAGCCACTGTGCCTGGCCTTATTTCAGTTTTCAAAAAAATAATTTCTATTATAAAATTGGATTCTTTCAATGTAAACTATAGTTTATCCCTTAAATTATGCTTTTCTGTACAATGGAAACACAAAGTGTTCTTAAACAATAAGCTGCACATGGTAATTCTCTTAAGTAGCTACCACAACTTGGAACTAAAAACAGGTAAACATTTCTGGGGGGAACAAACATAAAAATCATGATTTTAAAATGCATCTGAAAGACCACTTTAGTGTAAGAATATAGATTTTCTGTCACATTAAATTGAATAAATTATGATGTTCAATTTTTATTTTTACCTAAATGGAAATAAAATAGTCATCTACTAATCAAAGATGATTTTCAAAATTAAATGTAGTTTTTGCCAATGATATTAAGTTTTAAACAAGGCGTTTTTATTTTTTGTCACAGCAAAGAAATGATGACTTTATTGAATTAGATTACACCATTCTACTTCATGATATAGCATCTCAGGTAAAGTATAATTTACCTTTATTTGATGCCATTCTGAAAACTGAGACTTCCTCATATAGTCACAGTATGCTTTATTAATTTTAACTCTAAATCACAATCCACATAAATCCAGATAGGCACCATATTTAAATATATTACAGTTGCAGCAATTTAACAAAAGTACTACTCTTTGTGAAGACTGTTCTGTCTCTAACAAAATATAAACCCAAATACGTTTTTCCTCAATGTTTTCTGAACTTTATCATAGCATTAATTTTCTTCACTTGCAGGAGATTATTCCCTGGCAAATGCAAGTTCTCTGGCATCCACAATATGGCACTAAAGTAAAACATAATAGCCGTCTGCCAAAGGAAGTACAACTGGAATAAACAAAATCTCTAACAGGGGGAGGAAGTGTAAGCATGCCTATTAATGATGTGTATGCCAATTTTATTGGCATGTAACTTATAAAGCCAAATAATCCCAAAGTGTCACTTTATATAAATGTCTTGATTATAGTCTAGAACTGTATAGATTCCGTAATACAAAGTATCACTATATAAAAATGTCTTTATAACAGTAATAGTGGTATGTATATCCAATAATAAAAAGACTTCAATTTCAGCCTCATAATGTTTAATTACAATGCATACTTACGGGACAGGGGCAGTAATGGTCTCTCGAAAGGCAACTTTTGGCTTTCCTGTGATACAAGGACAGCCATATTCTCTTTCCATTCTCTAAAAAGAGTGGGGAAATTATTATTTAAATTTAAAAAAATAAACTGAAAGAAAACCCCCCAAGCATCTTGTATATCTTAGTAGCATTCATTTGAATACACTAGATAAATAAATTTCAAATCATTTTAGTACCTTACAAGGATTAGGTATGTGATGCTTAATATGAATTGCTTTTACAGATTTTATATAAATGAATTCTAAGTTACAATGGTAAATTTGTATTTACCTCCAATTAATCCACCCACTAACACTTCACCATTGTTCCATATTATTACAAATTCACTGGAATAATAAATAAATCTGTTGTCAGGATTTTCTATCTCAACTTCAAAGATATGAGCTCACCAAAATTTCTAATCACGTATCTTTGGTTTTTACTTATATATCAATACATACAAGACCTTTCCTGGGAAGGTATAGGCCCCACCTTCCCTTTCTTTTATCCATATTATAATAATCTTCGAGTACTGACTTGAGAAGAAATGGCCTGAAGAGTTGGTACAACCGCAGGCTGTCGCCCTAAGGCTTGGACCAGGATTTACTAGACCCAGTTAAGCATGACCTGGAAATGGACTGATATTCTTGTTGCAAATTTCGAGCCTTGATTCTAGCAGTCCAGAACGTTTTCCAAATAAAAAGATTTAGAGATCAAAAATCATTATTTTATAACGCATAGTAAAGGAAGCAGTTGACCACATCTGGATACAAACCAGAGTTGAAGCATGAAGAACCACAGTTACAGACATTAGATTGTGAATTACTGACTTTTAACAAAACACAGACAGTAATAAACTGATTTCAATCTAACTTCCTTATTATTCATTACCTGAGCATAGATTTCCAGGTGTAATTCCCCCATTCCAGATACAATTGTCTCTTTGTTCTCAGTGTCAAAGTGTACTTTAAATGTGGGATCTTCTCTTGTAAACCTGCCAATACCTTTTGAAAATTTTTCCAGATCGTTCTTTAAAAGAAGAAAGTCACTATTTGTTTTGCTAAGTATGATAAACAATGGGATTTTAGAAAGAACTTTACTGAATGAAATAAAATACATTAGCAGTTAAGAAATAAAAATGATACACATCTAGTTCTACTGCACAGAATTTTCTTTCCATACCAAGATAGAAAACAAGATTCCAAGACTTAAGTCTATGGCCTTTCCTATTACATTGACAAACTGTCCTTCTGTGAAAAATGCCCATAAAGCAGAAACTGGAATCTGTGTTACATTTTAGAAATCCTATACATAATCAAAGGAATCAGCATGTTTACCAAGACACTACTATAGATCCAAGCAAGACAGTTAAGACCAACAAATAGGAAAATAACACAATGAGACCTATCCCTTTCAAAACAATCTGCTTGGATGTGGTATGATGCACCTTTATTCTCCTTAGTTCCCACGTGATCCCACGTGGTGAGCAGAGTAATGGCCCTCCAAAGATAGCCCAGTCTTCCCAAATCTGTCAGTATGCTGCCTTTCATAGTGAAGGGGACTTTGCAAATATAATTAAGGTTACAGACCTTGAGATGGAGAGATTGTTACCAAATATCTAGGTGGGTACAACATAATCAAGTATGCCTTTAAAAAATGGAGGGAGAAGCCAGAGGGTGGGTCAGAGGAATTCCACAAAGGAAGAAGTGGCAGGAGATATCTGAAACATGAAAGAGACTTAACCAGCTGTTGCCAGCACTGAGGATGGAGGAAGGGGGCCACAAGCCAAGCCATTTGTTTTCTCAAATCCCAACCACAATGCTGAAAGGCAGAATTATCCACATTTTACAGGTGAGGAAATAAGGTGCAGAGAGGTTAAGTGACTTGTTCAAAGCCACATAGCTATGCATGGCAAAATCGGGACTGAATCACAGGTTAGCCTTTCTAGGTGTTTTGCCTTTTTCCTGCACAAGCCAAATATTCTCAACTTAGCAGAAACACCATCCCTGCCCCCACTATTGAGAATCATGGAGACTTCATTATTTGATTTAAATTAACTTACTTCAGCAAGCAGCCATCTGTAAACTTTTTAATGCATACCCAACCCCCAAAACACCAAAAAAACCTTCTTGCTATTGAAGCATTGATTTCGCTCCATTATTGTAAATTATTAACAGTTAAATGTCTTAAATAAACTCTGAATTTAGAAATGAGGAAGCATAATACATAAGCATAAGTTTTAACCTTGCATACTTCCAAAGAGAAAAGCAAGCAATTTTAACAATGTACTTATAAGAAACTATGGCATCCTACTGAGGTTAAGATGCAAGGTTCACCTTTCCTCAAGTTTCTGAGAAAACAGAGTAATTTAATATTTCTCCATCTTCTCTTTTCCATATTAAGAAAAGGTCTGGAAAATCTCAAGTTTCCTCGAAATATATGTAATAGTAGCTGTTAGTGATATAACACATGACAATTTATCAGAGTATGTTTTGTAATGACAAATTCTGAATGACAAATCATAAAATATTCACTCAATGTACAAATAAGTGAATTTCAATATACCACATTAATATGATTGTTATGAATGTGAAAGCAACTTAGGAACTAAAATATTATGGTTTGAGATCAGACTAAATCTCATGGCAAAGAATGAAAATGCAAAACCTAATCATACAATTTTGGCTTTATTAAGAGCTAAATTACATCAAAGCCAAATATAAAACTATAAAGTATAAAATTATCTTTTAAAAAAATTACATTTCAAAGTGAAAAAAGTCTTGTTTACAAGCTTTCCATGAAATACTCAGACATTTATCTCATAACTAGCACAAAATCTAGAGCTATATTATAACCCATGAGTCAATAATCAATTCAACGTTCTAAAGTACTTTATAGTGGGGTTTTACTACAACTTAGGAGAAATGTCCCTGATTCTCCTTTTCCAGTTGTTTATGATCTGAATCCAGGAAGTTACATTTACCACTCTGAAGCCAATAATATAGTAAAGAGTTATAAAGTACAGTCAGGTGAATATTTTAGTATCCTCAATTTATTCAAATATACTGAGGAGTTATCATTAGGAACAGACTGGTAAATTTAAAAAGAAGTTCTCAGTATCAACAGAGGAAATAAGAGACCATAAGACTGCTGGTTGTTACAAGATATCAAGTGCACTGTAGAGACAGATGAAAAAGCTCAAGTTTTAATTTTGATATACTGAGCTTTAAATCAAACTCCTACCTTGTTGGAAGGCCTCATTGCTATTGAAATGACAGGATCAGGAACATGAATTGACTCCTAAAATATTTTTTAAAAGAAAACAAAAGAATTCAAAAAAAGACCCTTATGGGTCAGGGACAGATTAATTTTAATGTGTCACTTCACAACAGAAGTAAGAACAAAGGATAAATACTAGCCAATGTCTTTAGGCTAGACAATATATATCTTGGTCTGTTTTGCATTAAATAAATAAGTATATGTTAATACAACATACTATTATAAATAAAGCTATCTACTTATATAAGTTCCTCCTTCCCAAAATAAAATAATTGAATGTGTTTATTTACCTGTTTAACATAATCACTACAATTAATCCAAATGCTAAGAGGTGAAATTCTTATTGCTTGGTGGCTGTTAGAATCTTCTAGGTTATTTTATTTAATCAAAATATACTACAATTACTGATAAGGGAAACACTAAAAAGGTACCAAATTCTTGATACCCATGATACCTCATTTAATAAATCACAACTCTGAAAAGCAGGTATTACCCCATTTTATGAATTAAGTCACTAAAGTCTTAGAAATAAGATAAATTGTCTAAGGGCCATTAGGCAGCACAGGGCAACGTGAGACTCTGCCAAGGCCTATTTGTTTCAAAGCCTTGGTAAGCACTGTCCACAACCACCAATCACTTCATGTTGCTAATGACAAGTACTTAGAGAAGGCCTTAACAATAATACTTAGAAAACATTTCTTTTATCTAGATCTCAAACAAAAATTATATAGATTCATGTTTTTTTTGTGATGTCTTATATCAACATGTAATACCATACACATTAGAGGATGTTATAGACAAAAGAACTAAACTATAAAATTATGAATTCATCATTAGATAGCAGGAAGTATTACAGTGCTCATCTGCTAGAGTTGGGTTTGTATTTATGTAAATGACCCACTACAAATTATCTGTCACCCTATGTTCTCATCATACTCTTTCTGTACTGAATTCATGAAAGCTATCACTCTCTACCCAGGGCCTCAGTGAAAATTAAAAAAAAAAAAAGATATTCTCATGAACAAATGGTCATAATGTAGGAGAGTATGCTCTCCTATAGAGGCAAAAAAGGTGAGTGAGTGAAGAGAATTCAAAGATAGGAACTACTTGTGCATGCTCTTCTCTCAGAATCCCTCAATGATAAAAAGGGACTTCTGAGTTCCAAAGGGCAGGTTGTCATATAAGTCAGACTGTATAGCTGCATATTGCCTTCTGAGCCTGGTTATGTTCTGTTATCCCAGTCTAGTCTAAATGATACAGTCTGGTCTCACAAGGGACTGAGGGAACAGTATAGTTGCTGGCTACTGAGTTAATAAGGAAGCAGCACTCCACTGAAACTAGCTTGATGCTAGTGGTTACAATTAGAAATGTACCCTGATTGTGGAAGCAGGTCTCAGGGTGGAGGACTCAGAGCCACACTGTCCAGTTACGATCTGGTGGAGATTTTTCCTTCTTGCTAAACTTGGGAGGATTGTGGATCCTCTGAGTTTTCCTTTTTACTATGGTAAAAACTGTTCCTAGTTTTTACTATGAAAAACCAGGTAAGTTAGCTTATAGAGCACTCGTCTAATTGACGTTCAAAGAGCTATAACCAACATTCAAAGAGCCACAACTAACTTGATACCTGTGGTACTCGATGAAAACGTTTGTGGTTGTTTCTCTGAAGTATTAAATGC